CACTTGTCAGCATCTCGGTGGCCTTGGTGTACTTCCAACCTCAGGAGACACTCAGCTGAGAGAGGGGGAGGTACAATTTATCACTGAATTTGCATCAGAACATGTTGGATCAACAATGACCGATGGTGGAGGTTGATGGCTACTTTGGCGGTGGGGGTGTTGTACCCCTAAATCATATGCAGTATTCTAAACCAATATTACTTCAGTAAAAATATAAATAAGAAATATACAGCTTCAAAATTTCTGAAGCTATAGATTTCAGTGACTCAGATATTGCCTTATATTACTCTTATATCAGTTTTTATGGTGATTGCTGTTTTTAATGGAGATTACCAGTACTTTTAACTTTTATAGAACAAAGTTGTGTAAATCTACTAAATCCATTTTAAAATAACAGAATTGCCCTCACCTTACCAAAGACAGGTCCACAAAAGAATCACCTTTCCCTAAGTGTGTCTTTAAGATTAGTGTAATTCAAATCAAATTTTTACTGATTTATTTTTTTAGAGACTACCAAGTTGGTTTTTAAATTCAAATGAAAAAATAATGACAAAAGCCAAGAAGATAAAAAGAATAAAGGGAATATATGCACTGCTAGATAATAAAACTCCCTAGAAACCCACAATGTGAAAGTGGAATGGTTCCGTAAAAGGATCCTATCTTAGTTTGTTAGAACAAATCAGAGTCTAGAAAAAGGACCGTGTACACATAATATAACCCACCTACGCGTAGTGCTCTAGCTAGCCCAGTAAACTTGGAAAATCCTGTTGAAAGACAACAGAAACCTGACCACAGAGGCCTTCACTTAAAAACTTATAGTTTTCTTAAAGGCGAAAATCCTTTATAAAATCCATGTATTCGTGGCTTTTATAGAGTCCCTAACAGGTTTTTCAGAAATTCTCTCACTCCAGATCTGCAGACTCATGGCAACCTTTGAAAACACATCCCTCTTTCTGATCCATGAGGGGTCCTCACTTTTGCCTCCTTCTCCCACTCCACCTCCTCATGTCACAGCACCACAGTCGCCACTCGGGACCCTTCCCTAAGAGGAAGCCCTTGAAAGGGTAGTTCTGGAAGGGTAGTTCTTTCTCCCAAGTTAACTGCTTGAAGGAGAGCAGGAGAATCTCTGAAATCAGGTGACTAAGTTCTCCCAGTAAATCCCCTGAATTTTGATGAATAAAAGCTCCCAATTTCAGTTCATTGGTGCTTAATAGATCTTAAAACTAGCATTGTCCATATATAGTCTTGGGACTGCTGACTATCCATGTAGAAAAAAATAAGTGAGAATTAGATTTTATAAAATAAATAATAACTATATTTCAGTAGATTAGCATGCAATTGGCTAGAGTTGGGACATTGTTTTTACATATACATAAGAACAATTGTGGGATTTTTCTCTCTAAGATTTGGAGTTGAATCAGTGAGAGGAGACTTGTACTTTTTGAATTGTTTTGAATTTCTTCAGAAATGTGTAATCAGTGAAACAAGCCAGAAATAAAAAGAAAAATATCAAATGATTTCACTTACAGGAGGAACATAGGGGAACCAAAAAAGAATCAAGAGAAAAATTATCATAAATTAAAATGTAAAATTAACAGGAAACTATTTAATCAGAAGCTCTGCACGGGAGGGGGAGGGAGAAGGATCAAAATGGGAGGGAAGATCACAAGGGACTATGGTGATGGTCCACCAGTGGGAATTTACAGGGGCTACACCTGAGAGGAGAAAGCATGCATTGTACAAAAAGGAAGAATGATGTAAAATATATTTTTTAAAAAGTTAAACAAATTTTTATATAAAAAAAGAATTAGTGTTGGTCTAGTGTTCTCTCCTATGCTAAGACCCATG